AAAAAAAAAAAAAAAAAAAAAAAAAACTCCTCGTTCCAAAGCATTTGACGGGTCGACTTGTCGTACCATTTTACTAAAAAATACATACATATAATGTAATAATATTATACGTCATACTTTTATTTATATTATTTTTTTAAGTATGGCATGAGTGACGGTCCTGAACTTTATACCGCTCTGGGCGAAATGTGAAAAATGTTCTATTTGTTTTTTTTTTTTGTGAAAAAAGATTTCCTTAAAAAAGCATTGTATTACCAGCAATAATAAAATTTGTAAATATAAAATATAATTATAGCTAAATTTTATATTTGAAAAATAACAAATGAAAAAGATGTAGAAAATATTTTCTTTCTTAAAACAAAAAATAAATATTAAAGCTCCATACTTTTCCTTTACTTAAATATATATCTTAAATTCATTGGGGTGCATATAATATTCAATTAAAATTTATTAGATGTGAATCGAGAAAGTAAAAAATTATTAATTTTGATACCAAAAGAACTAAATAGCGATAAGTTGAAACTCGTCTAAAAATGCGTTGAATGCAATTGACTCTTCCGATGACTATGACTAACATTATTTAATTGTGTCGCACGGAATAGCATTTTTCTATATTCAAGCAGGAAAACAAGATTTAAAAAACAAATGAAAGAATATGAAAAAAAAATATGTAAAAACGTATTAATTTTACTACAATAATTAATAATTATATTTTTCATGAAATTTTTCAAATGAGATAAAACAATTAAATACCTTTACTAAAGAATTAAGAAAAAATAACTATAAAACAATTTTTAATATAATTAATATATAATAATATTGGGCTTTGGTGTAAGTGGGGGCCCTGATGGGCTCCCGGCCCTCCCTACCCAGGGTTGGCTTTGTATGACATTTTGATATATGTTTGAAAAATGATAAGTGATAACTCTCTAACGTTAGGTATGTTTAATAATAATCTCACCCTTAGTAAGACGAACAACGGTCATACACAAATATTTGGAGTGTGTGTTTCTCTTATGTAAATTTGTTAAACGAAATGAGTCGCTCGAAAGCTCGGCTCGACTCACCTAGTTAAGGCTCGAGTTTGGTTCGGCTCGTTGGATAAACGAGCCGAGGCCCAAGATCGAGATCATCTCAGTTCAACTCGTTAAGGCTCAAAAGATTTTTTTATAATTTTATGTAATTCGTCTTGTTAAACCCGACTTGTTAATATTTATATACGAGCTAAACTTGAGATCGATTTTGATACTTAATAAGTCAAGTTCTGCTCGTTAAGTGGTCGAGCACCTTGAGCTCGAGCTTGGTTCGGCTCATTTACAGCCTACTCTTATGTATCCAGGTCATTGCAAGTTGGAGATTGGAGGGGGGGCAAATAATTTACAAATCAAGAAAGACAATTATACTATTACGTGATTATGCTTTTTTATTGGTATTAGAAAATAATATCACTTGTAAGTTGTCTCACATCGTTTATACAGAGAAAATATGTCTAACTTATAAGCATAGTGGGTTCATCCTTCTACTACCAATTGATTTTAGGATGAAAACTCAATCTGGTGCATCTAGACTCATCTTGTTATAGTGCGCTTCACGTGCGTGGGACCACACCCGTTTCCTCCATTTCTTACATGGTATTAGAGTCGATTCTACGTGGGACCTTGCTATGACGTACCAGTTACCCGGCCTACGTGAGCTTAGACTTCGTATGAAGAACTCACAAGTGAGAGAGCATATTAGAATATAATACCACCTGTGAGTTGTCCCACATCGTTTTCAGGGAAACTAAGCTTATACGCCTAGTAAGCCCATCCTCCTACTACCATTTAGTTTTAAGATAAAACCTCACTATGAAGTATCTAGACCCACCCTGTTATGGTACGCTTCACATGCATGAGACCGCACCTGTTTTTCCCCTTTTTTACATGGTATCAGAACCGGTTCTTACATAGTTAAGTTCTTACATGGAACCTTACTATGGAGCATCCAGACTCACTCTGTTATGGCAACAACCTTATCATTGAAATTAAGAACATATAAAGTTGTATAAGAGATCCTACGGGTTATTTATCTTGTTCTCCTAATTTTTCTTCATGTTGGATAGTATTATTGTTCTTGCATCCTAATACCCTAATATATAATACTAATTTGCAGATACAATGTCTTCATCACCTGGCTTAGTTGAAAATCAAAACCCAATAGAATAGAATAAAATAAAATAAAATAAAAAAATGTTGCCAAAAAATGTTTTGACTCTTCTGATTGTGGATTATTTTTCTTGAATGCCTATATATTTAAGTACTAAGTAAAAAAAATAAAAAATCTCATTTGCAGACAAAGAAGTAATTATATTTTATTTAAGCAAAACTCCTGATCATGGCATGCATCCCATGAATTTCTCGTTTAAGGGACAAAAAACATGAGATCTGCTTAGAAAGTGACTTATAAGGTTTTGTATTACTATTTTTATAATATAATATTTTTTTACCTGTACAATCCACCCCAAAAAAAAAGGGAAGAAAATGGGCAGCAAGAGAATAAAATCATCTTGAAATTGATGTGTGTGTGTGTGTGTTTCTCTCTCCTATTTGAAAAAAAAAATCACCATACCATTATCCAATTTTTTTTTTTTTTTATGGTTGGATCAACTAATATAATGCATTTATCGAACAATTTTTACTGTTGGATCAACACATATAGTGTGTGTTGATCCAAGAGCAAAAAAAAACCCGATGACTGTAATCGAACAAGTCTTCCTAGTGAGTGATCTGAGTAGATATTTCACGCGCTACATGGTAGTCATCGTATTTATTAGAGTTGAATTAACTGAAGCCCGTATAATTTTATTGAGATTTTATTTGATTTTTTAAATTAAATATATATATTATATTATTGTTAATTTCCAAATGAAACTTTCATCATCAAACCCATTGCTTTCAAAGGGAACTGAATCAGACAAAAAGCTTCCCAAGAGTGCAAAAGAAATCCATCTGCTTTTCTCTCAACATTAAAGACAAATCAAGGAATCTAACAGTGTCTTTCATACTGTTCCAAAGCCTCACACTTTCATCATTTTTTACCACTGCACTATTTATTCTAAACATGATAATGTTGTGAAATAATGCAAGGAAAGGAAAAAAGGTTTATTCAAAACTTAAATAATGTAGACAGTAACGCTCCCTACTCACGGTGGGCACATGTTAATATGTCCATCGATTATGTGACATGCACACATTGGTGATGTATTTTTTTGAACATATTAACATCACCAATGTGTGCATGTCACATAAGCGGTGGACATATTAACGTGTGTCAACCGTTGGTAGGAGAGCATTACTGATAAAATACAAGAGCAAGACAATGGAGTTAGGTAAGTAAATAGCATTTTGGATCTAAATTAGAAGTTTAATAAGTGTGAATTGGTCAAGTCAGACTTATAATTTTATTGTTTGGTAAATACTGTTTTGAAGTAAATTTTTGGATTTAAAATGTTGATTTCACATAAGGTCAATATATAAGAGCCCTTTTAATAGGAGATTGATATTTTAGTTATTTTTACTTACCAAACAGTGAATTATTTACCAACAATTTGTACAATAAGCTAATCATTATTATTATTATTATTC